AATGCACTACAGTTCAGAGGTACATGGTGTACTTCTACTACAGTTCAGAGGTACATGGTGGACTTCTTACTACAGTTCAGAGGTACATGGTGTACTTCTACTACAGTTCAGAGGTACATGGTTTGTGTACTTCTAATGCCCCTACAGTTCAGAGGTACATGGTGTACTTCTTACTACAGTTCAGAGGTACATGGTGTACTTCTACTGCACTACAGTTCAGAGGTACATGGTGTACTTCTACTACAGTTCAGAGGTACATGGTGTACTTCTAATGCACTACAGTTCAGAGGTACATGGTGTACTTCTACTCAAGTTCAGGTACATGGTTGTACTTCTACTACAGTTCAGAGGTACATGGTGTACTTCTACAGTTCAGAGGTACATGGTGTACTTCTACTACAGTTCAGAGGTACATGGTGTACTTCTACTACAGTTCAGAGGTACATGGTGTACTTCTAATGCACTACAGTTCAGAGGTACATGGTGTACTTCTACTACAGTTCAGAGGTACATGGTGTACTTCTACTACAGTTCAGAGGTACATGGTGTACTTCTACTACAGTTCAGAGGTACATGGTGTACTTCTACTACAGTTCAGAGGTACATGGTGTACTGTACTACAGCTCAGAGGGTACATGGTGTACTTCTACTACAGTTCAGAGGTACATGGTTGTACTTCTACTACAGTTCAGAGGTACATGGTGTACTTTACTACAGTCAGAGGGTACATGCGTGTAACTTCTAATGCACTACAGTTCAGAGGTACATGGTGTGTACTTCTACTACAGTTTCAGAGGTACATGGTGTACTTCTACTACAGTTCAGAGGTACATGTGTACTTCTACTACAGTTCTCAGAGGTACATGGTGTACTTCTACTACAGTTCAGAGGTACATGGTGTACTTCTACTACAGTTCAGAGGTACATGTTGTACTTCTACTACAGTTCAGAGGTACATGGTGTACTTCTACTACAGCTCAGAGGTACATGGTGTACTTCTAATGCACTACAGTTCAGAGGTACATGGTGTACTTCTACTACAGTTCAGAGGTACCATGGTGTACTTCTACTACAGTTCAGAGGTACATGGTGTACTTCTACTTACAGTTCAGAGGTACATGGTGTACTTCTAATGGCCACTACAGTTCAGAGGTACATGGTGTGTACTTCTACTACAGTTCAGAGGTACATGGATGTACTTCTACTGCACTTACAGTTCAGAGGTACATGGTGTACTTCTACTACAGTTCAGAGGTACATGGTGTACTTCTAATGCACTACAGTTCAGAGGTACATGGGTACTTCTACTACAGTTCAGAGGTACATGGTTGTACTTCTACTACAGTTCAGATGGTACACTGGTATACGTTCTACAGTTCAGAGGTACATGGTGTACTTCTACTACAGTTCAGAGGTACATGGTGTACTTCTAATGCACTACAGTTCAGAGGTACATGGTGTACTTCTACTACAGTTCAGAGGTACATGGTGTACTTCTACTACAGTTCAGAGGTACATGGTGTACTTCTACTACAGTTCAGAGGTACATGGTGTACTTCTAATGCACTACAGTTCAGAGTTACATGGTGTACTTCTACTACAGCTCAGAGGTACATGGTGTACTTCTACTACAGTTCAGAGGGTACATGGTTGTACTTCTACTACAGTTCAGAGGTACATGGGTACTTCTACTACAGTTCAGAGGTACATGGTGTTGTACTTCTAATGCACTACAGTTCAGAGGTACATGGTGTACTTCTACTACAGTTCAGAGGTACATGGTGTACTTCTACTACAGTTCAGAGGTACATGGTGTACTTCTACTACAGTTCAGAGGTACATGGTGTACTTCTACTACAGTTCAGAGGTACATGCCAGGCCGCCTTAATGCACGGCTGACCTGAAGCCCAGGGGCCTACGGAGATCGGGGGCCTATCGTGAGCCAATACAAATTTTAAAAAGAAATAAATTCAAAAAATTGTTTTTATTATTTCGGAAGTTCTTTTTAATTTTAAATAAACAAAGTCTTGGCTTTCAGAATATGAAACTTTTATTTCCAAATCACACGATAAATACATGTTGAAGCTTGTGAAGGGAAGAAGAAGACAGCTCTCACTCGCACTCTGCTGTTCCACAGCGCCCGCCCCCCCTCCCTCCGCTGACATTATGAATGTAAGGCGTATAGATCATAGATAACACGGCAGGGTCCGTTACAGAATCTGATTTCAAATAAACAAAGTCTTGGCTTTCAGAAATTAAACTTGTTTCGGCAAATTCAGATGATAAAACAACTTTGAAGCTTAAGGCATAACAAGCTGAGAACGGAGGTAACGTAACGCACAGCAGGAGTAACAACAGCCGGTGTCTCCTGAGTGGTTTCCCCGGGAAACAAACACAATACACACACAAAACACACACACACAACACACACCACACACACACACACACAACACACACACACACACACACACACACACACACACACACACACACACACACACACACCACGTGAGCTTCCCCTAGACCAGTACCCTATTTTGATCATTTGCTCCGCTAATCAATCAGATCGATGGATTCCAGAGATTTTTCTCAAAAATGATGACTCCGTAACAGTCACCACTTAACAGCCAATCAGAATGAGAATATGTTTAACATGTGACTTATTCAAATTGCGAGTGATTGAGTGACAGATGAAGGTTGTTTAGGAGAAAATGTCGGAGAAGAAAAAGTTTGAGAGTGGCGCTCGGAAAAGGAAATTGTTGAGGGAAAAGGAGTTTCGAGACAAGCAGCTATTACAAAAAATGCCGAAGCTTACAGGTTATTTTAAACCTGTAGGCCAGGGAGGAGGAAGGACAGATTAGTTCTGTACCGAGCGGCCGCGGGGCCTCGGAGCCAAGTAGCCGTCTGGTTCTGATAGCGATGGAGTAGCGGGAGAGGAAAAACAGACAGGAGGGACATTATCTGTTGGAGGAGATGGAGAGGACGACGAGGACTTGCTACGTGGAGGGAGCCAACGGCAACCGGACAAATACATGAGGGAGGCCCGATACGTCACTCATCTGGAGGAGAGGACCAGGCGTGCGTAGAGCAGAGTGGAGAAGTGCGATCACAGAGCCTGCCGAGGCTATAAATGACTTTGATTTGTTGTTTTTAAATCAGCCCCAGGGCCTGATGGCAGGTTAAGGCGGGCGGGCTTGGGTACATGGTGTACTTCTACTGCACTACAGTTCAGAGGTACATGGTGTACTTCTACTGCACTACAGTTCAGATGTACATGGTGTACAAACAGTCTCAAGGAGGCAAGAGTAAACCCTCTCCTAAAGAAACCCACTCTCAACCCATCTGATGTTATAAACTACAGGCCTGTCTCTCCTCCCGTTCCTGTCTTTAAACAACTCTCCTGTTATCTCCATCAGAACAACCTTCTGGATCCGCACCAGTCTGGTTTCAAGGCAGGTCACTCCACAGAAACTGCTCTCCTGTTCTGAGGAAACTGCACACGGCTAAAGCAGCCTCCCTCTCCTCTGTCATCATCCTGTTGGACCTGTCTGATGCATTCGACACGGTGAATCATCAGATCCTCCTTCACACTCTCCAAGAACTTGGAGTTCCAGGCTCTGCACTTTCCCTCCTCACCTCATACCTCAAAGACCGCACCTACAGGGTAACTTGGAGAGGGTCCGAGTCCGACCCTTGTCAATTAACTACAGGGGTCCCTCAGGGCTCTGTTCTTGGTCCCCTCCTCTTCTCTCTGTACACAAACTTGCTCAGATCAGTCATTGGCCCGCATGGTTTTTTTCATACCACTGCTACGCTGACGACAACCCAATTCATTCTGTCTCTCCCCGCTCAGAGACCCAGGTCGTCGCACGCATCTCTGCTTGTCTAGCAGACATCTCTCAGTGGATGTCTGCTCACCACCTCAAGCTCAACCTTGACAAGACTGAACTGCCTAACAATCAACATCGGCCCCTCTGTTGTTTCCCCGACTCAGACTGCAAGGAATCTGGGTGTGACCCTAGATAACAACCTGTCCTTCACTGCAAACATCGCTGCTACAACCCGCTGCTGCAGATACACTCTTTCCAACATCAGGAGGATACGTCCCCTCCTGACCCAGAAAGCAGGTTCTGGTCCAGGCTCTCGTCATCTCACGCCTAGGACTACTGCAACTCCCTCCTGGATGGTCTACCTGCATGTGCCATCCCACCTCTGCAGCTCATCCAGGAAATGCAGCGGCTCTTGTCTGGTCTTCAACCTTCCTAAATGTCCCCACACCACGCCGCTCCTCCGCTCCCTTCACTGGCTTCCAGTAACTGCTAGAATCCACTTCAAGACACTGGTACTTGCGTACCATGCTGTGAATGGATCTGGCCCTTCCTACATCCAGGACATGGTTACACTGTACACCCCAGCACGTGCACTCCGCTCTGCATCAGCCAAACGGCTCGCTGCACCCGCACTGTGAGGGGGACCCAAGTTCCCATCAGCAGAAACACGTGGGTTTGCTATCCTGGCTCCAACATGGTGGAATGAGCTCCCCATTGACATCAGGACAGCAGAAGCTTACACATCTTCCGGAGCAGACTGAAGACTCATCTCTTTCCACTCCACTTCGAGCGATTTAGAATTACTAACAAAGCACTTATATACAAGAACCAAGATCTGAGTACTTCTACTTTTACTCAAGTGCAATAATCTGAGTACGAGGAGAAGTACAGGAAGTACATGAGAGGAGGAGAAAGTACATGAAGTACATGGAGTACATGGAGAGGAGGAAAGTACTGAGTACAGATGAATGATGTGAAAATCTAATCAAGTGTTTTAAATCAGACTTTAGTTCCACCTGGAGTAAATCCACAAGTACCCTGCAGTATACAAAGTCATTCAAACTAGCTGCACCTTTACCAGCTTTGAGAACACTTTCATGATCAATCATTATTAAAAATATCATATATATTATTCTGAAACGTAGTTTAAAGATAATACATCCCCATCTTTGATATATAAATGGTTCTTTAAAGCCTCCTGAGGTCCCTGCAGGATCAGACCGCCGTGCGATTGGCTGAGAGGAAAGAGAGGCGGACCGACTGGGTGATGGACCCAATGGGGGAACCACCACGCTCGCCTCGGGCAGCTGCTCGACCTATTAGAGCGCCAGCAGCTGCTCCGCCCCCGTGATGTCATCATGCACTGTGAGTTTCACTACCTCTGGTGACCCTCTGTGACCTCTGTGACCTCTAGTGACCTCTGGTCTCTCTCTCTCCTCTCTCTCTCTCCTCTCTCTCTCTCTCTCTGTCTCTCTCTCCTCGCTCTCTCTCCTCTCTCCTCTGCAGGGGCATCCAGTCTAAAGCCTTCCTCTCCGTCTTCCTCCTCTTCCTCCTGTTGCTCCTCCCACCCAACCCAAGGCTCCTCCCATCCACTCAGAAGCTCCTCCCCCTATGACCACCTTCAGACTCACCTCCACAGGTAAAGCCAGGTCCAGGTTTTACTCTACACGAATGATAAGCTATACTAACTCAGAAAATGTGCTCTTAATGTTCTGTTTGTCTTCAAATGTTACAGATCAGTCAGATCTGTTGTTAATCCCTCTTTAACTCTGTAAACAGTGTCGGTGTGTTGTTGTGTTACACACTGTGACGAGTGACACACTGTGACGGGTGACACACTGTGACGAGTGACACACTGTGACGAGTGACACACTGTGACGGGTGACACACTGTGACGAGTGACACACTGTGACGGGTGACACACTGTGACGAGTGACACACTGTGACGGGTGACACACTGTGACGGGTGACACACTGTGACGGGTGACACACTGTGACGGGTGACACACTGTGACGAGTGACACACTGTGACGGGTGACACACTGTGACGGGTGACACACTGTGACGGGTGACACACTGTGACGGGTGACACACTGTGACGAGTGACACACTGTGACGAGTGACACACTGTGACGGGTGACACACTGTGACGGGTGACACACTGTGACGGGTGACACACTGTGACGGGTGACACACTGTGACGGGTGACACACTGTGACGAGTGACACACTGTGACGGGTGACACACTGTGACGGGTGACACACTGTGACACACTGACGGGTGATACACTGTGACACACTGTGACGAGTGACACACTGTGACGGGTGACACACTGTGACGAGTTACACACTGTGACGGGTGACACACTGTGACGGGTGACACACTGTGACGAGTGACACACTGTGACAGGTGACACACTGTGACAGGTGTGACACACTGTGACAGGTGACACACTGTGACGAGTGACACACTGTGACGGGTGACACACTGTGACGGGTGACACACTGTGACACCACTGACGGGTGATACCACTGTGACACACTGTGACGAGTGACACCACTGACGGGTGACACACTGTGACGAGTGACACACTGTGACGAGTGACACACTGTGACGAGTGACACACTGTGACGGGTGACACACTGTGACGGGTGACACCACCTGTGACGAGTGACACACTGTGACGGGTGACACCACTGTGACAGGTGATACACTGTGACACACTGACGAGTGACACACTGTGACGGGTGATACACTGTTGACACACTGACGAGGACACACCTGTGACGGGTGACACCCACTGTGACGGGTGAGACAGTGTGACAGGTGACACACTGACGGGTGACACACTGTGACGGGTGAGACAGTGTGACAGGTTGACCACACTGACGGGTGACACACTGTGACGGGTGACAGTGTGACAGGTGACACACTGTGACGGGTGACACAGTGTGACGAGTGACACACTGTGACGGGTGATACACTGTGACGGGTGACACACTGTGACGGGTGACACACTGTGACGGGTGATACTAACATCAGGGGAGGGAGGATGATGTTTACTATAACGTGAATAAATTAATAAAAACACTGTCTTTACTCAGTGGATAAAGGAGGAGGAAGACCCCTCCCCAGACCAGGCGCACCCCCCCTCAACCTGAAGTCTGTCCTGCACCAGGTAACACACACTCACACACTCTCACACACCTCACACACGCACCACACACACACGCACACACACAACACACACACACAACCACACAAACACACCACACATCGCACTCACGCACGCACGCACGCCCACGCACTCACTCACGACGCACACTCACTCACTCACGCCCACACACACACAACGCACACTAACTAACTCACTCACTCACTCACACACACTCACTCACTCACACACACCACACACAACACTAACTAACTCACTCACTCACTCACTCACTCACACTCACACACACCTCACACACTCACTCACTCACTCACTCACTCTCACACACACGAATGTATATGATGTCATCCCTCTAGCCCCCCCCCGGTTGTTGAGCTGGCAGCTGGGGTGATGCGCTGGTCGTATGAAGAGGGCCATGCTGGGACTTCGGGGTTCTCCCCTCCCTGAAGGTGGGCGAGGGGGGGGTTTGGAGTCGTGTACCCGAGCGCGACTCTGAGGAAGAGAGACTTGCGCTGTGAAGAGACTCAAAACACGGTAGCCAATCACAGAGCAGAACACACAGCTATCAGCCAATCACAGAGCAGAACACACAGCACCCAGCCAATCAAGAGCCGAACCACACAGCACCCAGGCCAATCCCAGAGCAGAAACACACAGGACTCAAGGCCAATCACAGAGCAGAACACAGGATCAGCCAATCACAGAGCAGAACACACACAGCACCCAGCCAATCACAGAGCAGAACACCAGGACTCAGCCAATCACGAGTAGAACACACAGCACTCAGCCAATCACAGAGCAGAAAGCACCGCACTCAGCCAATCACAGAGCAAGAACACACAGCACCCAGCCAATCACAGAGAGCACACCACGGCCACCTCAGCCAATCCAGAGCAGAACACACAGCACTCCAGCCCAATCAACAGAGCAGAACACACAGACCAGCCAATCCCCAGAGCAGACACACAGGACTCAGCCAATCACAGAGCAGAACACACAGGACTCAGCCACATCACAGAGCAGAAACACACAGGACTCAGCCAATCACAGAGCAGAAACACACGGCACTCAGCCACTCACAGAGCAGAACACACAGCACTCAGCCAATCACAGAGCAGAACACACAGCACTCAGCCATCACAGAGCAAGAACCACAGGCACTCAGCCAATCACAGAGCAGAAACACACAGGACTCAGCCAATCACAGAGCAGAACACACAGGAATCAGCCAATCACAGAGCAGAACACACAGGACTCAGCCCAATCACAGAGCAGAACACACAGGACTCAGCCAATCACAGAGCAGAAACACACAGCACTCAGCCAATCACAGAGATAGAAACACACAGCACTCAGCCAATCACAGAGCAGAACACACAGGCACTCAGCCAATACAGAGCAGAACACACAGGACTCAGCCAATCACAGAGCAGGAACACACGGCACTCAGCCAATCACAGAGCAGAACACACAGCACTCAGCCAATCACAGAGCAGAAACACACAGCACCCAGCCAATCCCAGAGCAGAACACACGGCACTCAGCCAATCACAGAGCAGAACAACACGGCAACTCAGCCAATCACAGAGCAGAACACACAGGACCTCAGCCAATCACAGAGCAGAACACACAGCACCCAGCCAATCACAGAGCAGAACACACAGCACTCAGCCAATCACAGAGCAGAAACACACAGGACTCAGCCAATCACAGAGCAGAACACACAGGACTCAGCCAATCACAGAGCAGAACACACAGCACCCAGCCAATCCCAGAGCAGAACCACAACAGGGACTCAGCCAATCACAGAGAGAAACACACAGGACTCAGCCAATCACAGAGCAGAAACACAGGACTCAGCCAATCACAGAGCAGAACACACGGCACTCAGCCAATCACAGAGCAGAACACACGGCACTAGCCAATCACAGAGCAGAAACACACGGCCACTCAGCCAATCACAGAGCAGAACACACAGCACTCAGCCAATCACAGAGCAGAACACACAGCACCCAGCCAATCCCAGAGCAGAACACACAGGACTCAGCAATCCCAGAGCAGAAACACACAGACTCAGCCAATCACAGAGCAGAACACACAGCACCCAGCCAATCACAGAGCAGAACCACACAGGACTCAGCCAATCACAGAGCAGAACACACAGGACTCAGCCAATCACAGAGCAGAACACACAGGACTCAGCCAATCACAGAGCAGAACCACACAGCACCCAGCCAATCCCAGAGCAGAACACCACAGGCACTCAGCCCATCACAGAGCAGAACACACAGGACTCAGCCAATCACAGAGCAGAACACCCAGCACTCAGCCAATCACAGAGCAGAACACACAGCACTCAGCCAATCACAGAGCAGAACACACGGCACTCAGCCAATCACAGAGCAGAACACACAGCACTCAGCCAATCACAGAGTAGACAGGGCTCAGTGTGAGGTCACATGATGTAATGTTGTCATGTTTATAATCTCCTCCAATAGAGTGGTGCAGGAATGAGTCCTAAAGGAAGTGAGTCAGCATGTCTCCACTTCCTGTTCCCTGGTCTCAGAGCCAATGGGATCTCTCCATAGGGTTTAGGAAGATATCTGAACCAAGGTCTGTGGTTGAGACAAAGAGACGGGTCACGTTTTGTTCTAGGACATTAAATCCATCAGCAGTGACCCCCACTGGTGATTTCTGAAGAGTTGACGTGTCTGAAAAACGATGGTTGTTACCAAGTGGCCTGAATAGGACTACAGAAGTCGTGGAGGACGTTGTACGTCATTACGCCGAACACGTTAAACACTCCTCTAAGTCTGTTTGCCCTGTTCTGCTTGAAAGCAAGTACCTGCCTCCTGCCTAACTGTTTCAAACAAACGCTTCAACTCGTTCCATTTAGAATCTGTGTGTTTGAATATGGATCTGAAGTCGGCGTGACGTTGAAGTCGTGCTGCTGGACTCGCCTGTAGCTCCTTTGTAGCATCACGTTAGCATTTAGGCTTCGGAACATTAGTAGAGTTATGATTAGAACATTATAAAGGTTCAAGGTTCCAGGTTCAAGGTTCTTTATTGTCAATCTGACATAGCTACAGAGTAATTCTGCAGTTGAAACTCTTATGTCACAGGCTTCTCCAACAATGCAACATAATAACATAACCTAATAACAATAAGAGCAAGAGCAATACAAAAATAGTAATAGTTATAAAAATGAAATAAAGTTATGATGTGGAATAGTGCAGTATGAGTCTATATACAAGTTATTGGAATGATATATATATATTAGGTATTAGATACATACTACTGAGTAGCAGTTGAATGTTTGATGTTGTTTCACCAGTTCAATTGTTTAACAGTCTCACTGCACGCGGGAAGAAACTGTCTCCGAATCTTCTTCCTGTCCTTGCTAGGTAATGCTGCGGTAACGTCTGACAGACGGCAACAGAAAGAACCAGTTGTGGCTGGGGTGATGGGGGGTCTTTGATAATCCGTAGTGATTTCTTCATGAGCCGCTGGGAGTAAAGGTCCTCCATGGATGGCAGCTCCGTCCTGGTGATGTGCTGTGCAGTTTTCACCACCCTCTGTAAAGCCTTACGATCGAGGTCGGTGCAGCTGCCGTACCAGGCCGTCATGCTGCCAGTGAGGATACTCTCTATCGTGCACCTGTAGAAGTTGCAGAGTACTCCTGGAATCCATTTTGAACCTCCTCAGCCTGCGGAGGAAGAAGAGCCGCCTGTCGAGCTTTCTTGGTGATGGTGGTGGTGTGAAGAGACCATGTCAGGTCCTCAGTGATGTGGACCCCCAAGGAACCTGAAGCTTTTGACTCTCTCCACCGTGTCCCATTGATGGCGATGGGGGCGTGTCCCTCTCCCTGCTGCTTCCTGTAGTCCACCAATCAGCTCCTTTGTTTTGCTGATGTTGAGATGGAGGTTGTTCTCCTTGCACCAAGATGTCAGGTTTTTCGACCTCCTCTCTGTACGCCGTCTCGTCATCGTCTGTGATCTGGCCGATGACGGTCGTGTCATCAGCAAACTTCACGATGGTGTTGGAGCTGTGTGTGGCCACGCAGTCGTGGGTGAACAGGGAAGTAGAGGAGAGGGCTCGAGCACGCAGCCTTGAGGGGCTCCGGTGTTGAGGAATCAGGGTGGAGGATTGTGATGTTTCCCCACCCGCACTGCCTGGGGTTCTGCCCGTCAGGAAGTTCAGGATCCAGTCGCAGAGGGCGCTGTTGAGCCCGGAGGTCTCTGAGCTTGATGGCCAGCTTGGAGGGCACAATGGTGTTGAATGCTGAACTGTAGTCAATGAACAGCATTCTCACATATGTGTTCCTGTTCTTCGGGTCCAGGTGTGAGAGGGCAGTGTGGAGGGTGAGGGCTATGGCGTCGTCTGTGGACCTGTTTGCTCTGTAGCAAACAGCAGGGGGTCCAGAGATTCAGGGAGGGAGGAGGTGATGAATAATTTGACTAACCGCTCAAAGCACTTCATTATGATGGAGGTGAGTGCTACTGGGCGGTAGTCGTTGGGGCAGGTGATGATTGTCTTTTTGGGGACAGGAATGATGGTGGAGTGTGTAAGACATGTGGGGACTACAGACTGCAGCAGGGACCTGTGAAGATGTCTGGAACACCTCTGCCAGCTGAACTGCACACACCCTGAGAACACGGCCATGGATGCCATCAGGTCCAGGAGCCTTGTGTGGGTTAACCCTTTTTAAAGGATTTACACACATCTGCCCTATTTAAAACAAAAGGGCAGTTTGTAGCTCCTGGTCCCTCTGTACCCTCCACAGCCTGGGCTGCTCTCAAAGCGTGCAAAAACCTGTTAGCTCATCTGGGAGAGATGCGCACGCAGACACTCCCGCAGCACCCCCCGCTGCTCCTTTGTAGTCAGTCATTGTCCTTAGTCCCCGCCCACATATTCCTAGTGTTACAGCCTTTGAAGTCAGATTCAACCTTTCTCTTTGTACTGTCTCTTTGCATTTTTTATTGCTCTCCGGAGATCATACCTAGACTTCCTGTACTCCTCCAAATCTCCCGCTGTGTGCGCGAGAGTGCGCGCTTTCAGTTTGCCCGCACCTCACCGTTTACCCAGGGCTTTTGATTTGGGAATGTCCGTACAGAAACCTTCGGTACCACGTCATCGATGCATTTCCCAATGTAGCAGATGACAGTGTCCGTGTGTTGTGATTGATGTTGTTGTCCTCAAACCACACTCCAATACGTAGATGCAAAGCAATCCTGCAGTGCTGAATCTGGACTCCTCGCTCCATCGCTGTACTGTCCTTGTTATCGGTCTGTCCCTTTTAAGTTTCTGCTTGTAAGCAGGCAACAACAGTAGTGAGATATGGTCTGATTTGCCGAAGGGAGGGCGAGGGAGAGCCTTATATCCATTCCGGAAAGGGGAATAAACAATGGTCCAGTTATGTTTCCCCCGCGCGTCGGGAAGCTGATGTGTTGGTAATATTTTTGGCAAACCTTCTTCATGTTGGCGGGTTGTTGAATCTCCGGGCCACAACGAACGCCGCATCTGGCCGTGAAGTCTCGGTTTTATCAATAAACCCAAACAGCTGATCGAGTGCCGTGTTGTTGTCGGCGAGTGGCTGCGGCGGGATATACACTGCTGTTATCACAACAGATGTGAATTCCCTCGGCAGATGGAAGGCCCCGACATGAGATCATGAGGTGCTCTAGCTGTGCGGAACAGTCCGATGAAATAATCTTCACATCTGAGCACCAGTTGTTGTTAGTCATTACACACACCACCGCCTCCCTTACTTTTCCTCGAGTTTGCAGTCCGGTCCTGACGAAAAATAGAGAATCCGTCAGGGACAATAGCGGAGTCCGGATAGCGGGGTTGAGCCAAGTCTCAGTGAGAATTAACACGTTACAGTTCTTAATGTTCCCGTTGAAAAGCAATCCGGCTTCTGAGTTCATCTAGCTTATTTTCAATGGATTGAACATTAGCCAGAAGAATACTCGGAAGAGGGGGCGATTCTCACGTTTTCTTCAGTCTGACCAGCAACCCGGCCCGGCATCCCCGCTTTGTCTTCTTCTTGCGTCTCTCAGGTAGAACAGCAACAGGTAGCCATGGTGGATCTCCATTGTTTGTCGGAGGGTTAATATTGTCCACGAAGTTTCGCAATTGGAAAAGTTCCTCTCTGCTATATTGTATGGCAGAGTAGGTGCGGTCGGCTAGCATGTTGCGAACCATGTTAAAAGTAAAACGGCAAAAGTAAAAGAAATATGTACAAAATACGAAAAGGGCAAAGTTGGAGAGGAGCACAAAGACAATGCGGCCATCTCACCGGCGCATCATAGCTGACATTAGAGTTATGATTTAGAACATTATAAAAGTAGACATGTGGAGATGATCCTGCAACTAAACGTGCATTTATCAAACAGGTTCGTTTTCCACAGATCTTATTTTTTACAATATTCCTAAATCCTCTGGAGAAATCCTTTTTAGTGGAGGACCAGCCGCTTCAGGGTCGGCCCTACAGAGACACGTCCTCCCTGCTCCGCTCTATACGGAACCCTCTCTATAGGAGCGTGAGTGTAGGCCTGTCGCGATAATCGATAAATTGACTTATCGTACGATAAATAAAAATGGACTCGATAACTTTTCTGAGCTCGATAAATTGCCGTTTACATGAGGATGTGGCCAGCATTTTAGCTAGGAGCGCTGTGAGGGGCGGGGCTGACACACAGCCAGGTCAGGACACACAGCCAGGTCAGGACACACAGCCAGGTCAGGACACACGGCCAGGTCAGGACACACAGCCAGGTCAGGACACACAGCCAGGTCAGGACACACAGCCAGGTCCGGACACACAGCCAGGTCAGGACACACAGCCAGGTCAGGACACACAGCCAGGTCAGGACACACAGCCAGGTCAGGACACACAGGACACACAGCCAGGTCAGGACACACAGGACACACAGCCAGGTCAGGACACACAGCCAGGTCAGGACACACAGCCAGGTCAGGACACACAGGACACACAGCCAGGTCAGGACACACGGCCAGGTCAGGACACACAGCCAGGTCAGGACACACAGGACACACAGCCAGGTCAGGACATACAGCCAGGTCAGGACACACAGCCAGGTCAGGACACACAGCCAGGTCAGGACACACGGCCAGGTCAGGACACACAGCCAGGTCAGGACACACAGGACACACAGCCAGGTCAGGACATACAGCCAGGTCAGGACACACAGCCAGGTCAGGACACACAGCCAGGTCAGGACACACAGCCAGGTCAGGACACACAGCCAGGTCAGGACACACAGCCAGGTCAGGACACACAGCCAGGTCAGGACACACAGCCAGGCCACAGGTCAGGACACACAGCCAGGCCACAGGTCAGGACACACAGCCAGGCCACAGGTCAGGACACACAGCCAGGCCACAGGTCAGGACACACAGCCAGGTCAGGACACACAGCCAGGTCAGGACACACAGCCAGGTCAGGACACACAGCCAGGTCAGGACACACGGCCAGGTCAGGACACACAGCCAGGTCCGGACACACAGCCAGGTCAGGACACACAGCCAGGTCAGGACACACAGCCAGGCCACAGGTCAGGACACACAGCCAGGTCAGGACACACAGCCAGGCCACAGGTCAGGACACACAGCCAGGCCACAGGTCAGGACACACAGCCAGGTCAGGATTGAAGAAACATTAATCTGGTTGATTTGTTATTTCCAGGATTGAATGTTCAAACCAAGGCATTTCATAAGAAAGTGACTAATATATAAACCAAATGTAATATTGGATCAAACACTACACCAAATGGACAGACACAGGTTCAAGTCCCCTGGTTTGTCTCTAGAGGCTAGCTGCCAGGAGAACAATCAGATCAATGTTCCACAATCCGTCACTAGGTGTCGCTCATTGTACCAATACGGTTTATATAATACAGATTACCACGTGCTGTGGAAATTCCCCCTGGGGACAATAAATCTAATCTAAACTCATTTAATATTCAATCCCACACTTAGCGATTGAGAACATCAATCCGTAACTTACCTCGTTTAAAGCACTTCTGCTGTAATACTATGGATTTAGTTGACACTACTAGCCCAGTTTCTTTTGTCCAATATTTCGCGGGAAGGTACATTGAATTAGAAGTAGAAGAAGAAGAAGTAGCACCTCTCCGCCTCTTCCAAGGAACCAGGGGACCGTGCAGCAGAGTTTCAGTTTCAGTTTCTTTCGCCGGTCAAGATGTCCGTTAAAGTTTAAATCTTCCGGACAAAATGAGAAAAGTGCCGGTCAAAGGTCTTCTTTGTTATTTATTGAGCTTTAAAACAAATGAATAACGACTCTATATAATAAAACACGGAGGACGGAGATCTCTTTTTCTCCCCCTCTTCTGACAGCCCAGCAGCTGATCAGAGCACGTCTCCCCTCTCCTGCAGGGGGGCGTGGTCAGCAGAATCAGACCCGTAGACAGCAACAGCACATAGAGCGAAATGAGGCATGGCTAAAATGCATGATCTGTTTGGTATTTTGAAAACAGAAACGTATAAATATACCTGATATAGGTATGGCCCTACAATATATCATTTACATATAGCATGATAGGTCCACTTTAAAGTGAAATGGAATTGGTTACAAAACCTAACTACACATCTCGATTCTCCGGTGTGGCAGTATTTTGGATTCAAGCCAAATGAACGAGGCGAATGAGCCGGGCGGTGTGTCGCATTTGTTTAAAAACATTTCATTGATTGTTGGTTGTGTGTGATTTCATTAATTTATTATAATTTAATTAATTTGTTTTATTTATTATATATCATTTATATATTTTAATATTATTTCACATTTCATTTGCCATGCTGAATGTTCAATAAAAAGTTATGTTTGAAAGGATGTACTCATGATGTCAGTGGTCTAAAATGGTCATACAACGGTGCGACAATATTATCGTTTATCGCAATCATTTCCAGGAAAATGTATCGTCCAACAAAATGAATTATCGTGACAGGCCTACGTGAGTGCTCACAGTGACACATTGGAGAGGAAGCACTGTGTCTCAGACAGGAAGTGGACTGTTGTTGTGTTGATGTTGATGTTGATGTTGATGTTGTTGTTGTTGTTGTAGGACACCCTGATGGACTGGGCTCTGCTGAAGGAGAGCTTTCAGACTGAAGTGGACAAACTGTCAAAGTGAGTTCGACATGATGTCATCATGATGTGTTCAATGCAGTCTGTTAAAGGCAGTGATGTTGATCCGTGGTGCGTTCAGGTTCCGGCACTCCGAACCATCGTGGAGCTGCTGGGCTTCAGTGAGGGAGGAGGAGCCGTCTGTCTGATATTCAGCTACATGGAGAACAGATTCTTGGAGGACCAGCTGCACAACGTAACAAACACACACACCCCACCACACCACACACACACACCACACACACACCACACCAGACACACACACACAAAACATGTCACTCAAGTGGACACACTGATTTTAGTAGATAAAAAGTATATCATATGTATGTATGTATGTATATTTAATTATTACTGTGTGTGTGTGTGTGTGTGTGTGTGTGTGTGTGTGTGTGTGTGTGTGTGTGTGTGTGTGTGTGTGGTGTGTGTGGGTGTGTGTGTGTGTGTGTTGTGTGTGTGGTGTGTGTGTGTGTGGTGTGTGTGTGTGTGGTGTGTGTGTGTGTGTGTGTGTGGTAGAATGTGT